CTTGCTACTTTTCCATAATATGATTCATTTTAGATTGCAAGTGTATAGGCAGATTTGATAGTTGGTGCGTTTGATTTACGGAATACCACTGAGCACCCAGGTTTGCACAACTCTGGAATAAATAATCAATGTCTCTCTCAAGTGTGTAATTATTGGGTTGTTGCACACCAGCTAACAAATCTGATCTTTGTGGACAACACTAATAAGAGCCATGCCTGGCATGAAAACACCCCTGAGGAGCTGCTGTTGGTCAAGAACCTTTGCTTCTTTTCTGCAATCGACAGATTTATAGCTGATAACAAAGTTCAGAAACCAGGTCATCAGTGGATTTCTCTACTTAGTACAGCAGATGAAGACTGGCAAGGCAGCTGGGGTTGATGGAATTCCACCTGAAGTCTGGAAACATGGAGGCCAAGCACTCCATGCTAAATTTCATGAGTTTGTGGTGCACTGTTGGGAACTAGGCGAACTACCATCAGACCTTCGTGAGGCAGTCATCATAACCTTGTATAAGAAGGGAGATAAATCAGACTGTTCAAATTACCATGGTATTACTCTGCTCTCCATTGCTGGCAAAATCCTGGCAAGAATACTCTTGAACAGACTAATAACCGCTACTGCAGAAGGAATTCTACCTGAAAGCCAATGTGGTTTCAGAGCCAACAGGAGTACCACAGACATGGTATTTCTTCTCAGACATCTGCAAGAGAAGCGTAGGGAACAGAACAAAGGTCTCTATGTAACCTTTATTGATCTCACCAAGGCTTTCAATACCGTGAGCAGAAAAGGTCTATGGGAGATTTTGGAATGTTTAAGATGTCCCCCCAAGTTCCTTAAAATGATCATCTTACTTCATGAGGATCAGCGCGGTCAAGTCAGATATGGCAATGCACTTTCTGAGCCCTTTCTAATATCCAGTGGTGTGAAACGAGGTTGCGTTCTTGCACCAACTCTATTCACAGTCTTCTTCAGCATGATGCTCCAAAAGGCCACAGCAGACCTCGATGAAGAAGATGGTATCTACATTCAATATCGTACTGATGGAAGCCTATTTAACCTAAGGCGACTGAAGGTCCATACTAAGACCTTAAACCATCTTGTCCATGAGCTGCTTTATGCTGATGATGTCGCCCTCGTCGCCCACACAGAAGTAGCTCTGCAGTGTTTAACATCCTGCTTTGCAGACGTTGCTGAGCTTTTTGGGCTGGAAGTCAGTTTGAAGAAGACAGAAATTTTCTATCAACCTGCACCTCAGGATGTCTTCCATCATCCCCATATCACCATTGGGGAATCAGAGTTCAAATCAGTCCAGCAGTTTAATTACCTAGGTAGCATCATCTCCTCGGACGGTAAGATTGATGGAGAGATAGACAACAGGTTAACAAAGGCATATAGAGCTTTTGGAAAACTCCATAAGAGTTTGGCGAAATAAACACCTGAAGAAAAGTACAAAGATCAGTGTTTACAGTCATTGTACTGTCTACTCTTTTATATGAATCTGAATCATGGGTCATTTACTGCCACCACCTGCAACTCCTAGAACGCTTCCATCAACGCTGTCTCCATACAATCCTAAATATCCATTGGTCAGATTATGTGACCAATACATCTGTTCTAGAATGGGCAGCACTTACGAGTATAGAGGTCATGTTGCTGAGAACACAGTTGCGTTGGGCAGGACACGTCTCAAGGATGAAGGACCACCGCCTCCCTAAGATCGTGCTCTATGGTGAACTTGCCACTGGCTGCCGCAAGAGAGGAACCCTGAAGAGAAGATACAAGGACTCCCTGAAACAACATCTCAGCCTTGGCCATATTGATCAACATAACTGGTCTACTCTGGCCTCCAATCAGGAGGTCTGGAGACACACTATCTATAACGCTGCTGCTTCTTTTGAGAACACGTGCAGGATCACTCTTGAGGAGAAAAGACAACGCAGAAAGAATCGTGTCTTGTCGATATCACCTAAGGAGTCTTTCTGCTGTGCCTTTTGCAACCGGACTTGTCTATCTTGCACCGGTCTTTTTAGCCACCAGCGCGCTTGTAGCAAATGTGGGTAGAGCCCTTCCCAAATCTTTGTTCGCGAAGCCTAGCCATGATGTATAGGCAGATTTGTCACTCTTCTGATTTCCAGTACAAATCTTCAATAGTATTCTGTATTTGTCATTGTTGCTTTGAAATAAGCTGTAAATTGTGTATGTAGCAACATATATAGCAAGACTCAGTAAATAAATATTATGCCTTTTAAAAAAATAAAATAAAAATTCCCAGTTTCAAGACCAAAGATGAGATGACAGAAATTCAGAACAGAGAGAAAGAAGAGAAAGACTCATATTTACTGAGATAATACTGTGCATAAAACAACAAAAATAAATAGGGTTAATACTTAGATAGTAGAGTCTAATTGGAAACTGCCTGTCTACTGCTTAGGATAATAAAACTGATGAATGTTGGGGGTTTTTGGTTTGTTTTTTTCTTTTTTCTTTTTCTCTCTCTAGACTTTGAAAGAGTGATTCCATCTAAGAACTAGCAGTCTTAGTTCAGAAGCTCAGGGCTCTGTTCCTGTCTAATGCTCCTGTTGTCCGCAAAATCAGATTCATTACCCAGTGTGCAACAAGTCAATAATTACATACTCAAAAGTGACACTGATTATTTATTTCAGAATTGTGCAAGCCTGGGTGCTCAGTGGTATTCCACAAAGCCAGCACACCAACAACTGGTGAGATGCTTGACTTGGAGTAAATCAGGTCTATTAGATAAAAGGCAGAATTTTCTTATTTTCAGATATGTGTTAACAAGAAACAATTAAACAATTTTGAAAATTACATTATTTGGAATTATTAGGAGTATAAAGTATTTTAAACTATATGGAAGAATGCTCAGAATTTGACTTCTAATGAACATTTACAGCACCTGGTAAAGTTCACATTAGTGGTCTGACCCAGCTGCTTAAGTTTAGAGACTTCACTGGAAGGAGAGATGTGCAAGATTTCTGTCTTTTTACCATCAAGCCAAACCCCTAGATCTCTTTCTGCAGGGCTGCTCTCCAGCCTCTTGTTCCCCAATTTGTATGTATAACCAGGATTACTCTGTCCCTGTCTATCATAATAGATGATTATTGAAAGAGGGAATAAAAGCACAGGAGGAAGGAAGTAGGGAAAAAAATAAACCCAAGAAATTAAAAATAAAAAGAAGTTCAAAATAAAAACAGCCTATGGAAGAGAAAGAACTCAAAATACTTTGCTGGATCATTTTCATTTTCTATGTATTGTGTATTAGCTGTATTCTGAACTATCTCAATATGAACACACAAGTATGTTGACATGTTTCAGAGTATTTTCTACCTTGACTCAATATAGGCAAATAAACTCACTTTTTCATTTTATCTATACTAAAATTAAGATTATGAAACTACCATTAAAACTTCCTCTTTGCTTAATTAAGGGCTTTTTATGATTTGTAAGTTATTCTTTTATATGTATTTGTATTCTTTGTCCCTCGGATATTCTCATTAAATAACACTGATTATTAATTCTCTCATCTGACTTGTAAACATGAAAATTAGTAAATCTCCAATAAGTTAAAGCAGGTAGCATTTGTGCTATTTCAGTACAAACTGTACTCAAAGTAATAATACCATACAGCAGTGTAAAATGATATAGTCAGCATAAGCTAGCATATAAACTAAGAGCCATGGATGAGGAACATCTTGTCCTTTGATTTGATTTCTGCTTGAAATCACTACTTGATTGCAGTGCAAAATGTTATTTCATAATGGCCCTCAGTCTGCTTGTTAATAGGACAATGTATCACTAGCATGTGTCAAGTGCTCTCCTGGATCAGAATTCAATACTTTGTAGGGTCAAGTTCTAATGCGTGGAAAAGGAAACAGCATGACCAAGGAAAGGCTCAGTGGTTAAATAAGCCTGAAATAATTTAAATAGTTTATGTGAAATTATCCCAGTAGTAGACCAAGCCAACAAAGGATAAGGAAGAAAGGATATCTGACTCTAGAATTTAAAGCTATCCATATATTTGATACTGTGACAAATAGAAACCCAATCGGGCAATTTCCAATCAGAATTTATTATATGATAAAAGCAAATTCAGCGCTGGGT